CTTTGTCCCTTTTCCAATTCCTGTGCTAAACTCCCTTGTTTCTATGTTCCTAGTGGGAGCCAGGTCTTGGATTGCCCCTGCATACCCTAATCAAATAGTAGTAGTAGTGTAGTAGTAGTAGTAGTAGTAGTAGTAGTAGTAGTAGTAGTAGTAGTAGTAGTAGTAGCAGCAGCAGCAGCAGCTAGTATTTATATAGCACTTAGGCACTTTACATGTCATCTCATTTTATTCCCACCATCAGCCCTAAAGGGTAGGTGCTATTATTATCTCAATTTTCAGGTGAGGAAACTGAGACTGAGAGAGGATAAATGATAACCAGAGTCTCAAAGCTAATTAAGTTTCTGGCTTTCCTGCTTTCCTGACTCCACAACCAGCTGCCTCAGGGGAAGCGTAATGGACTGGGAGCCCTAGGTGGTTTGGGCAAGTCACATAATCTCCCCGAAATATGAAAGTTTCCTTACCTATAAAATAGGAATGCCAATAATAACAGCAACGCCAGTCTCTATGGTGCTCACTTTCCTCATAACTGTGAGATACACGTTATTCTTCCCATTTTAAAGTTTCTACCTGAGCAGCAGTTAACCTGCATTAACTTGCTACGTGACTTTGGGCAAGTCTCAGTTTCCTCATTGTCAAATGGGATAACAATAGCTGCCCTAAACAATGTACCTCACAGGATGGTGGTGAGGAGCTAATGAAATAATGGTTATGAAATTGCTTGGTGAGGCATGGTACAAGTGCTAAGCAGCAGCAACAGCGATAAGAACAGTAATGATGCATTCCGCATGCCATGCCATCTGCCCTCACCCTGTCCCTGGGCCCTACCATTTCCTTCTTGGGTCCTCTTCACCTTTACAGTCCTCTGGAAGCATTTGATTGAGCAGTATGGGAAGTCTTTACTAAACCACGTGGATATCAGTGGACTGACCAAGGTTTCTGACGGCTACACCCCGGGAGACATCACTGTAGCTGTCCATTCTGTGATGACCGAGAGGCGGAAGATTCAACTGATCAAACGACCTCTGACACCTTATGAGTTTCTGGAACTTCTGGCCAAGATGGACCCAGTGTATGAGGAGGAGGAGGTATCACTGAAGGTACCAGAGATGTGTGTGTGTGTGTGTGTGTGTGTGTGTGGTGTGTATGAGTGTGTTGTGAGACTGTGTGTGAGCGTGTGTTGTGAGAATGTGTGTGTATGTATGAGTGTGTATGAGTGAGTGTGAGTATGTATGAGTGTGTATGAGTGGGTGTGTATGAGTATGAATGTGTAGGAGTGAGTGTGTGTGTGTGTGAGTGTGTTGTGAGAGTGTATGTGAGTGTGTGTTGTAAGAATGTGAGTGTGTGTATGTATGAGTGTGTATGAGTATGAATGTGTAGGAGTGAGTGTGTGTGTGAAAGAGTGTTGAAGAGAGAGTGAGGAGGTGGTATGAGGAAGAAAGTGGGGGAACTTGCAAGAGTCCTTGGGAAAGAGGCCCATAGTCATTCCTAATCAGAGGGGCCTGCCTCAGGTGAAAGGTCATTTTGTCCTCTGGGTCTTCAGCACCTACCATAGGTTTATACAGGTGAAAACAAGTGAAAACAACATCAAAGGCAGGCTTTCAGGGAAAAGAATAAGGGCAAATACTAGACCTTTGATTTCATTGATATTGAGAATTACCAGAGGAGAAATCTTTCTTTACCAATTCTTTGCAATTTAGAGTGTTAGAAAATTGCCCAGAACCCTGAGAGGTTAAGTGATTCTCCCAGAGTCCTACAAATAACCTTGAACCCAAGCCTTCCTGGCCAGTTCTCTATCCCTTACACTACACTGTCTCTTTGAAAGGGAAAAGAAGTCACAAAAAGACATGTTGACTAAGAATGTATATGGAAAAGAAAAGGTGAGGGATAGGTCCACCCACTATTCCTTCATGAGAGTGGGGACTCATTATATTTACAGCCCTTAATAAGGCTGATCACATGCATATGGGCCTCCTCTCTCTCTCTCTCTCTCTCTCTCTCTCTCTCTCTCTCTCTCTCTCTCTCTCTCTCTCTCTCTCTCTCTCTCTCTCTCTCTCTCTGTTTTTCTTTCTCTGTCTCTTTTTCTTTTTCTCAAAGCACCAAAGCACTGCTATCTTCTTGAGTCATTGCTTAAGTACCAATAGCTTTGACTCCACTCCACAATAGGGCCCAGGCCCTTTATTCATCGATCATACCCAAGGGATGGTCCTGAAAGCTTGGAAGGAGTGAGGGGCTGGATCCTAGTCTGCAGAAGACAAGTGGGAGCAAGGGTGAGGGACACAACAGGACAACAATAAGATTTTATAGGAGACCCATAGAACATGATCAACCCCAACCTACTAGGAGAAGAAAGAGGTTAGAAAGCAAGGAGGAAGAGAGGAGTTGCTGCTGAGGGAGGCATAGGTAAGGTAGGGAACCAAGTTAAAGGACCCCTCTTATGAAGATTCTTCTTTCTGCATCTTTTCATTTCATACTCTCCTGTTCTTATTCATTTCATTCAGGATTGGTACTTTAAGACTCCTCTGGGGAAGAGGCATTTGAAAGCTGCTGAGGATCGAGCAGAGGAGGAGGCAGCAAGATTGGCAAGACAGAAGAAGAAGAAGAAATGATGAAGCTTAAAGCAGGGCCATAATGGGAGGGATGCTGAGGACTGGGGTGTGTGGGGAAGCATCCTTAGGGTGGATGGGCCAGATAGTAGAGGTATAAACACCCCAACAACTGTAGGGATGACGGAAATTCGTGTGGATGTCCATCTCTATGTCCCATTTCCCCTGGCTTCATTTCTCTAGCCCAATTCTTCATCTTTTGCCTTCATCCCACCCTACATTTCTGTGAACCTAAGTCATGGTCATCTCTTGTTTCCTATCCCCCAGTCATGCCTGAATCCTTTTCCCTTGCCTTCTAAGACTTTGTTTCCCTGCTCTTTCTTTGTTTCGATCTCCATCTCTGCTTCTGCCTTCATCTCTGACTTTCAGGCTCTTTTTCAGTATTTCTTTTTCTTTCTACATTCATGAACAAATAGGGAGGAGGAGTCAGGTTTATTAGCAGGTGGGAAAACAAAGAGATTGAGGCATGTTGGTGTGATGCAAGGAAGTACCAAATTGGGAGTTGGAAGATCTGGGTTCTGAGTGTCCTTTGGTAAATAACTTTGCATCTCTGGGCCTTAGCTTCCTTATACAAAAAAAAAGAAGGGGTTGAATTCTACAATTTTTGAGGTTCCTTCTAGATCTAGCATTCTAGGATCTAATAGCTAGGGGCACAGGATAAGACAGACATTTTCTCCTTTAAAAATGTCACCCTTTTGTTTTTGCATCCCCTTCCTTTTCCACTCTCCCTCTTCTTCTCTTTCTCCCAAAGAATCATCCCTAATAACAAAAATGAGGAAAAAAAGGGAGAAGGGAAAAAAAAAACTTTAGCCAAGCTAACAATGTCAATCTAGTCTAACGTTATGAACAGTATAATGGTTTCCCACTTCTGCAAAGACAGGAAGGAGGGAAGTGAATGCATTCTCATAGCTCTTTTTGGGCCATGCTTGGCTATCATAAATTCACAGCACTTAGTTTTGACACTGATGATGTTGTTACATTGTTATTATATATGTTATTTTCCTGGTTCTGCTTACTTTACTCTGCATCAGTTCATGTAAAATTTTTCATCCTGTTATTAGAAGTGATTGTAATTATTACCAATATAATTATTGTATTATATTATATATTGTAATATAATTATTATATTATAAAATTATTATATTATAATTTTATGTAGTACAGTAATATTCAATTACTATAATTTATTCAACCATTCCCCAATTGATGGACATCTACTTTGTTTCCAGTTCTTTGCTACCACAGAAAGTGCTGCTATAAATGTTTTTGTGTTTATCACATCTTTCTTTTTTATTGTTCACCTCCTTGGGGTATATGCCTTGCTGTGGGGCCTCTAAGTCAAGGAGTACAGGCTTTTTAGTCACTTTCTTAGCAGAATTCTAAATTGCTTTCCAGAATGGTGGGACCAATTTACAACTCCACCAACAGGATATTAGTGTGTCTGTCTCTGTACAACTTAGCCAACACTGACTTTTCCCTCTCCCTTTTGCTGGCCCCAAACCTGTTCTCAAATGTCCAGCCCCACCCCCAGCTTCAGGTTTTGCTTTGGATGACAGCTGAGCCCAGGGCTATTTATGGTCTCCCTCTCAGCACAACTTCTCCCTCCCTTCTCTAAGCCAGATCCTGGATCCTGTCCAGCATCTGCTCAGGATATGGCCATAAACCACCCTAAACCCTGCTCTTCTGGGTCTTGCCCCTAGAAATCCCCCTGAAAACTGCAGCCATGCCCAGAGAATCGGAAAGCAGGCGGCGGTCATCCTGGCTGACCTGGCTTCCCCCAGCCTCCCTCCATTCAGGATGGGACCCCTTGTCCCGGGGCTATCCTGCCCGGAGGGTGCCCAAGCAGGCACCCCTGCTTAGCAGGGACATGGTCCTGCAAAATGCACTGTACACGGGGAACCTGGTGAAGCTTCAAGAGCTCTTTCCCCCAAACAGCACTGCAGACCTGCTGCTTGAGAGCCGGGTGGCTGAGCCTCGCTGGAGCAGCCACCAGAGGGGTGAGGGAGCAGGGGGATGGGGGCACATGGGAGTGCAGGATGGCCCGGTGGCCTGGGTGGTGGGGGCAGGAGAAAGAGTAGAAGGGATGGGGAGGGGACTGGCCTGGGTGGGAGAGTGAGAGGTGGACAGAAGAACCCAGGTTGTTTCTCTCGTCCTCAGGTACACCCTCACCCTGCAAATACTGGCTCTGACCTGAAGTCATGTGGAGCCCAGAATAGCTTCTGTGGGACTTAGCGTTAGAGTCTGACTTTTAGCCACAGGACTAACAGGAGTCTCTGGCTCTTTCTGTCCTTGTCTATGTTTCTGTCTGTCTTTACCCCCCCCACACCCCGTGCTCCCCTCTATCTCTCCTCCTATCACTGCCTCTCCCTGTCTCTCCTCTCTCCCCACCCCCTCCCACCCCGTCTCACCTCTCCCTTCTCTGCCTCTGCCCTGAACTCTATTTCTCTTTCCTCTTTTTCACAATATCTTTGTCCTCAACCCTAGACCCCATTTCCCTTTCCTTATGGGTAGCCCCTCGTCCCCAGAAGATTGCAGAGAGCTGGGGGGCGGTCCACTTAGTAGCCTTTGTGCCAGGTTGGTTGAGAAAGCAGACAGAGATCCCAGAGAGGGTCAGGAGCCAGGTCATGGGCCCATAGTAACCAGGACAGCCTCCGGGCCCACCTTGGAATTCTGGCAAGCCGTGCTGGTCGGGGATGTGGCCTCTGTCTCCCATCTCTTGGCCTCCCCTGGCACTGGTCTCACCCCGGATATTGTCTTTGACACCAGCGACCCAGAGAGATGGAGAGATTTCAGATTCAACATTCGAGCTCTGAGTATGGGCGGCAGAAGCCTGGGTTGTTTGGGTGGGGGGAGGGGATGAAGGCGGCCATAACAAGACGTGGGGGGGAGGGGCTTCAAGACTCCCATCTCCCACCTTCTCCCGACATTACTCCCTCGCCCACCTAGGCTTCAGGTCTTGCATTATCCCTTGGTGTTTTGACCCTTCTTGGCATTTGGGTTCCCACCCCCACTCGAGGTCTCCAAACCCTCCTTAGGACTTTGGTCTCTGACCTACGAGGAAGAGCTGACCACCCCGATACACGTAGCAGCCAGCAGAGGCCACGAACAAGTTCTCCAGCTGTTGCTAAGTCGAGGAGCCCAGCCAGATGCTGCCCCTGGGGGTCGCACTGCTCTGCATGAAGCCTGCATCTCTGGCCATGCACCCTGCGCCCGACTATTGCTTGTAGCCGGAGCTGACCCAGACATCCCAGACCAGGATGGGAGGCGCCCTTTACACCTGTGCCAGGGGCCTGGCGCCCTCCAGTAAGTGACTGCCCTTTAGTCCCCCCCCACTGTACGTGCTGTCACCCACCTTCCTCACCTTAATCCCTACATTTCTAGGTTCCACTTTCCCACCTACTCCTGGGAAAGGACGGGGGTCTCTTGGTGAAATAATTTCAAGGGATCACAGCAGAGAATATGCACTAGTAATTGAATGAGGGACTGAACAGAAGCAGGCACCAGTGGAAGCAACAAATGTTTATTAAGCACTCTCCACGTGCCAGGCACTGTGCTAAGAGCATAATGAGGCAGTATGCCATATCAGAGTTCTGGATCTGGCCCCGGAGAATTTCTCCCAGCTCTACCTCTTATTCTCTGTGAATTTAGGCCTATTACTTCCCCTTCTCTGGACCTCAGTTTCCTCATTTTATAAATAAAATGAGGGACTCAGACTAGATCAGGGTTCATTTTTTTTTTTGGTTAGGCAATGGGGTTAAGTGACTTGCCCAGGGTCACACAGCTAGTAAGAGTTACGTTTCTGAGGCCAGATTTGAACTGAGGTCCTCCTGAATCCAGGGCTGGTGCTCTATCTGCTGTGCCACCTAGCTGCCCCAAGAGTTCTTAATCTTTTATGTGTAGAAGCAGGTAGGTGGCACAATGGATAGAGGACTGCGTTTGAGGTCAGGAGACCTGAGTTCAAGTCCTACCTCAGACACTTACTGGCTGTATGACCCTGGGCAAGTCACTTAACCTCTGTCTGCCTCAGTTCTCTCAACAGTAAAATGGGGATAATAATAGTACTTAACTCTCAGCCTTGTGAGGATTAAATGAGATAATATTTGTAAAGTGCCTGGAACATAGTAAGGACTTAAAATGCTTATTTTTTTCCTTCACGGACACTTTGGCAATCTGATGAAGCCTATGGACCCCATCTCAGAGTAACATTTTTAAATGTATACAATTAAATGCACAGGATTATGAAGGAAATCAATTATATTGACATGCTATTTTATGTACATATATATGGATATATGTATATTTTTAAATTTAAAAAATGTATTAAACCAAGGTCACTAATCCTAGGATAAGAACTCCTGGGGCAGCTAGGTGGTGCAGTGGATAGAGTACTGTCCCTGGATTCAGGAAGATCTGAGTTCAAATGTGGCCACACTTAACATTCACTAGCTGTGTGACCGTGGGCAAGTCACTTAACCCCATTGCCTAGCCAAAAAGAATAACCAAAAAACTCCTGAACTAGATAATTTCTAGGCTCAGGACAGGATTGTCTCAGTGCCTCAGGAGTGTGTTTGGGAGTTTTGGAATGTGTTCTCCCCACAGTGCATGACATTGGCACTAATTGAGTATTTTCAGAGTGGATTATGGAATGGCCTGAATCTTGGTCATTCTTTTAGGGGAGAAGGGGTGTGTGTGTGTGTGTGTGTGTGTGTGTGTGTGTGTGTGTGTGTGTGTGTGTGTGTGTTGTGTGTAGTAAGTGTGCTCTTAAGGACCAACATCGACATTTGGGTTTGCCAAGTTTGTCTTTGATGCCTTCATTCACCCCCACTCCCATCACTTGGGATCTTTTCCACACCCTCTTATGCTCTAAGAAGAGAGATGTTATACACAATAAGAGAGGGAAGAGTTTCCCTGAACTTTGCCTTGTTCACATCCCATACAAGTATTGTGTTCAGCATTGGGCACCACATTTTAGGAAGAGTTTTGACCAACTAGGGTACGCACAGAGGAAGACAGCTAGGAGAGTTCAAGGACTGGAGGTCCTGCTGTATGAGCATCATTTAATAAAATTGTAACATTTAGTCTGGAAAAAGAAGAAGAGGGGAGGGGGAAGGCTAAGACATGGCTTTGGGTATCTGAAGGGCTGTGGTGTAGAAATACGATCCCACTTGTTCTGCTTGGTCCCAGGGGCCGAACTGCAGAGAGGCATCAAGATTTAATGTAGTTCTCACAGTTAGACCCTTCCCACGGTGGCACTAGCCACCCTGAGAAGGATGTTTCCTCATCACCAGAATTCTTCAGATGGAGAACGGATGATCACTTATCAAGACTGTTGTAGAGGGGATTTCTATTCAGGGGTAGGCTGGACTAGATAATGTGGGGGACTCGGAGATTTCCTCCCATTTCTTCCCACACTTCTTACTACCCAGGTGTTCAGTGCCCCCAGACTGAAAAGAAATAATAGATAAAAAACTCATATCAAGGTGTCAGAGGCCTTATGTGTTATTGCTTCCTAGGTCATTTGCAGCTTTAAAGTGAGCTTCTGGAAGAAGTACAGGCAGTATGCAAATAGACAAGGAAGTTATTTTGGGATGAGGTGGTTCCTAAATACCACTCAAATCATATCTATTGAGCCTGTGCCTGTGTGCTCAGCTGTCTGTCTGTCTGGATTTGTCTCTGAGGCACTCTGTTACACACACACACACACACACACACACACACACACATATTCCTCTCCTCTCTTTGATCCCCAGGTGTGCAGAGTTGCTGCTGAGGTTTGGCGCCACAGTGGATGGTCGATCTGAGGAAGAAGAGGAGACACCTCTACATGTGGCAGCCCGAGGAGGGCTGACAGAGCTGGCTGCTTTACTCCTGAGGAAAGGAGCTTGTCCAGATGCCCGTGATGCCGAAGGCCGGACCCCTCTTCTGGCTGCCTGCTCAGTTCCTCTCCTTCCCCAGGCTGAGGCTGAGGCAGCCACCTCCAGGTGTCTCCACCTGTGCCACCTGCTTCTCTCTGCAGGTGCCGATGCGGATGCTGCTGATCACGACAGGCAGCGGCCCCTGCATCTGGCCTGTCGTCGTGGCAATGTGGCTGTGGCTGAGCTACTCCTGTCCCAGGGGGTTAGTGTCAATGCCATGGACTACGGTGGCCATACAGCCCTGCACTGGGCCTTGCAGGGTCCAGCTGCTGCCCTGCCCTGCAGCCCAGAACAAGTGGTCCGAGCTCTACTCAATCATGGTGCTGTCCGAATCTGGCCTGGAGCCCTTCCCAAGGTACCAAGGGATGCTGAAGTGAAGAGGGGCCCCCAAAAGGTGGTGCAGAGAGAGAGAGGGGGGAGTTTGAACCAATCAATGCTTATCCATATACTCTGAGAACCAGCTCTTTGTCTCCCTTTCTTTGTATAACCTGGAGAGCTAGGATGAAGCCATTCATTCATTCCAGAAGTTTCTACTGAGCACCTTTTATGTACCTGGTTCTATGTTAGGCACTACTACAAGGATGTGAGAGAAGCTTGGGATGAGGGAAGATTTAACTCCCCAGGAGGTTACAGGAGACTGGGGGAGGAGGCAGTTCCAGCAAAGTCAACAAACATTTATTAGGCACCTACCACATACAAGACACCATATTTGGTGTAGGGAATATGTAGACAAAAAGAAAACAATCCTTGTCCTCAAAGAGCTTACACAGAAGGGGTGGGGGTGGCTGATGTAATATGTCAACAAGAAGTATAACACAAGAAGAGGGAGGGGACAAGTGGCTTCAGGGATGAGATGGCATCTGCACCAACTTTGAAGGAAGAGAAGCATTTGGAGAGGTGAAGATGAGGAGGGAGTTCATATTGGGCATGGGAAATGACTAGTACTGCTTCATGGAGGCAAGAGATGGAATGCTCCATGGAAGAGTCATCTAGCTCTCCAGTCTGGCTGGAATGACAGTTCATGGAAGTAATCTGAAATAATGTAAGTGGGACCCAGATCGTGGAGGGCCTCAAAGATCAAGGCCAAGGAGTTTGTATTTTACCTATAGGCGATGAGGAGCCACAGGAGATTTTTGAGCAGGTGAATAACATGGTTGGTCAGAACTATGGTTTAGGAAGATGATTTTTTTTTTAAAATTTGGCAGCTGTGTAGAGGATGGTTTTAATAGGAGAGCAGGGAAAATCAATTAGGAGGCCATTTAGAGTAGTCCAGGCAATTAATGAAAACCTGAACTAGAATGGTGATGATGAAAGGAGAAAAGAGATGCTATAAAGAACTGGATCTGTGGTTTCATTGATAAAGGGCACTCCCGAATAAGGAAATTTCCTCTCTTACAGCTGATTGGCACCTTCTCTGAAATTTGCAGTCTTAAAGAATTGCCTAGGGCACTGAGAGATTAAGTGACTTTCCTAGACTAATTCATCCAGAGTGTTTCAGAGGTAGGTCTAGAACCAGGTCTTCCTAATTCCAAGGCCAGCTCTCTTTACCCTACACCACACTGCCTCTTGAGGAGATGCAACTGATTTAATATGGGTGTTAAAAGAAAATGTGCTTAGTACATAGTAGGGGCTTAATAAATGTTTACTGAATTGAATCAAGGTTGATTTTCTGGTTATTATAAAACCATGATTGGGAAGATAGTGATAACCTTAACAGAAACAGGAAAGTTTGGTGGAGCAACAGGTTTAGGAGTGAAGATAATGACTACTGTTTTAGACATGTTAAGTCTGATGAATATGGATCATGCTAAAGGAAATTCCCATTAAGCTATTGAAGATGTGAGATTGAAATTCAGGAAAGAAATTAAGATTGGATTAAGATTTGGGACTTGTTTGTGTAGGACAGAGCTATGGGAAACACCCAAAAGAAGAGAACAGAAGATGGATGATGGCCCAACAAAGGAGCTTGAGAAGAATCACCAGGCAGGAGAAGCAGAAAGAGCTGTATCCTTAAGAGCCTAACAGTATGAGAGTCCAGGTTTAGGGGGTGGTCAGCAGCATCAAAGAGGCATGAGAACTGAGAACTACTTTATTTTTTTCTGTTTCAAATATATTTTGATTAATTTCATTAAATATTTCCCAATTATGTTTTAGGGGAAAAATTAATATTCATTTTTAAAGTTTTTGAGTTCCAAATTCTCTCCCACCCTTTGAGAAGACAAGCAAATATATCAATTATACATGTAAAGTCAAGCAAAATATATTTCCACATTAGCCATGTTGCAAGGAAAAACATACACATACAGAAGAAGAAAAATAGAGAAAGTGAAAAAAGTATCTGCACTCAGAGTTGAGAACTACTTTAGCAATTAAGAGATCATAGGTACCCTTGGAGAGAACAATTTCAGAAATCTAGCAGGTTTGGAAGACAAATTGAAAGGGACTGAAAAGTGACTGGGATATGAGGAAATTAAAGGCTATGACTATAGACATCTTTTTTCTTAGGAGTTTGGCAATGAAAGAGAGGAGAATTAAATGACAACAGCTTGAGGGGATGGAAGGCTGTAAGCTTTTTTTAAAAATGCAGGAGATTTAGCCATGGTTACAGTAATAGGGAAAGAAACAATAGATAAGGGGAGACTGGTGATGAAAGACAGAAAGGAGATGATTAATTAGTCAGTCTCCTGAAGAAATTGAGGAGATGGGATCTAGGACACAACTGGAAGACTTGGTTTTCAATGACGGAAGGTCCACTTCTTAATAGAGTGGTCTAAAGTAGAATAGCCCTTGCAAAGATTTATAGCAGTTCAGTTGTGAAACAGGAAATATGAGAAAGCACTTGACTTCAAGTCTAGTTAAGCTAACAAAATAATCAGTAAACATTTAGTAGGTGCCTACTTTGCACCAGGCACTATGTTAAGTGATGAGGATACAAAGAGGTAAGACAGTCCCTGCCTTCAAGGAGCACACAATCTAATAGGGGAGAGAACAAGCAAGCAAAAATGTACAAATTATATGCAGGGGGAAATAGGAAATAATTAAAAGAGGAAAGGCACTAGAATTAAGAAGGCTTGGGAAAGGTTTCTTAGAGAAGGTGGAATTTTCAGGTGGGACTTAAAGGAAGCCAGGGAAGACAGATGGAGATGAGGAGAGAGTGTGTTCCAGGAATGGGGGACACCCAGAGAAAATGCCCAGAGCTGAGACATGGAGTATCTTGTTTGGGGGAACAGCCAGGAGGCTAGTGTCACTAGATCAAAGAGTATATGGTGGGATGTAAGGTGTAAAAAGATTGGAAAGGAAGGGGCGGGGCTAGGTTATGAAAGACTTTGAACATGAAACTCAGAGTTTTTAATTTGATCTTGGAAACAATAGGAAGCCACTGGAGTTTAATGAGTTGGGGAGGGGAGTGGTGGCTGCATTGTTAGACCTGAATTTGAGAAAATCACTTTGGTGGCTGAATGGAAAATGGATTTGAGTAGGGAAAGGCTTGAGGCAGGCAGATCTACCAGCACACAATTACAATAATCCAGGTGTTAGGTAATGAAGACCTGTACCAGAATGATGGCAGGATCAGAAGACAGAAGGGAGTGTATTCATGAGATGTTGCAAAGACGAAATCAACAGCCCTTGGCAACAGATTGCATATGGGAGGTGAGAGATAGTGAGAAATCCAGGATGACCTAGGTTACAAGCCTGAGGCACTGGGAAGTTGGTGTTTGCCCTTGACAATAATAGGGAAGTTAGGAGTAGGGCATTGGGCAAGGAAATAATAAATCCTGTTTTGGAAATACTGAATTCAAGATGTCTCCTGGACATCTACTTCTAGATGTCTGAAAGACTGGAGATTCAAGATTAGAGGTCTGCAGAGAGGTTGGGCAAGATAGGTAGATCTGAGAATCATCAGTATATATACGCCAATTTAATGTGTAGGAGCTGATGAAATCACCAAGTGAAGTAATATAGAGGGAAAAGAGAAGAGGGCCCAGGATGGTACCCTGTCAAGGAGAATGAGGACTGAGAAAAGGTCATTGGATTTGGCAACTAAGAGATCACTAGGAACTTTAGAGAGGGTAGTTTCTGTGGAATGATGAAGTCAGAAACTGGATTGTCAGGGGTTAAGGAGACAGAGAGAGAGGAAAGTGGAAGCTGCTATGGTAGATGGCCTTTCCAAGGAATTTAAAACAAAAGGTGGAAGATATAGGGTGGTAGAGGGGATGGAAGGATGGAGTAAGGGTTTTTTTTAGGATGGGGGAGATGAGAATGTTGGTAGCTAGTAAGAAAGGATCTGGTAGAAAGAGAGCAACTGAAAATAAGTGCTGGAGGGACAGTCTGCTGGAGGAGATAAAATGGAATGAAGGTGGAGGGATTGGCTTTGGTAAGAGTAGAGCCTTCTGCATGTGAAAGAGGGGTAAAGGAGGAAATAGTGGCAGAAAGCATATGAGTGATACAAGATGAGGAAAAAGGGAGAAAATGGAGTTCATGGTAAATAGCCTCTGTTTTCCCTGTCAAATATGAGGCAAAGTTTTCAGCTGAGAGAGGAGGCAGAAGATAAGCCTTGGGAGGTTTGAGGAGAGGTACAAAGGTTTGGAAGAGCTGTGGAGAGTGGGATGGTGAGGTCATAGGCAGGTACAGTAGGATTGTCTAGAAGCAGTGAGGGCCCAGGTGAGGTTGTGTTATATAAATCTGTAGCAGACCCAATCAGAATAGTTGCATGGTTTTTTCCACCTTCATTGAGCAGTATACACATAGGAGGGAAGGAGGCAGACAGTGGGAGTGATCCAAGGCTGAGGCTTGGCAGGACCCAATTGGTGATATGACTAAAGAGCTAGTGACTCAAAAAAAAGAGAAGAGTGTAGAGTTGAAATGGTTCACAAAGGGGTCAAAATGAGAAAAAGAGGAGACAGTGGCAAGTGCATGCAGGGGAGATGGCCTGGGAGACAGCTGAGGAGGTAACGGATTGGAAATCATGTATTGATTGGGTTTGGTAAGGGAAGGCAGAGGGAGAGGTGGAAAGCCATTAAATTATGGCAAGATAAGGGGATTTCAGAATTCTTGAATATGGATCTGGTGCCTTGTGGATGATGGCAAGATCAAAGTTGTAACCATCATTGTGGATTGCTGAGGTGAGGTGGAGGACTAGGTCATGGGAACTGAGTAGGTTGAGGAACTGAGTGATTAAGACATTTGAAGGAGAGTTGAAATGTATGTTGAAGTACCCTAGTATGAGCTTAGAAATAGCAAGAAGAGAAAAAAATTCATTTTTAAAAATACAATAAGATAAGCATTTGCTTATATTTATGATATATATAATCCATAATCTAGATATATTTTTTATATATAATGGTGTACAATAAATATATACTAATAAAATATTACAAGAATTTATTTATATAATAAAAGAAGTACTTATTAAATGCCTACCACATGCCAGGTACTTTACTAAATGTTGGGGATACTAAGAAAAGTGAAAAAACAGTCCCTACTCTCAAGTCCCAGTCTAATGTGGAAATAACATGCAAACAACCATGTATGAAGAAGATATATACAATTTTCTCCATAAAAGTAGAAGCTGAAGACATCTTCTAAGGGCAGAGTGGGTTGGTGCTGGGGGCTTGATGAGAGAAGAGAAGTTTTGGAATATCCGCTGAAGGGAATGAAATAAAGAATCACTCCAGGAAGAATAAACAGATTGCCAGGTAGCAGTGAAGGCTCAGTTGATATTAGATTAGTAGTGAACCCATCTGGCAGGATTGAGGACTTCCTTCAAAGCGATTTGGCAGCATCACAGTAGAAAAATCCAGGGTTGAAAACTGGTATGTGTAAAAAGATGGATAGATAAGAGAGCCAGGGCATGAAAGGTGAAGACAATGTAGTTAGCCGAATTGGTTAACTATACGGTTAAGACTGTGAAGATCAAATAAAAGTAGGGTTAGAGCAACTTCTATCAATTATGAGAAAAGGAAGGGATAAAAGGACAAGGGGTTGTTGTAAAGCTAAAAATGTTTAGAAGCAATAAGATAGAGAAAGGAAGAGAGATAAAGAGAGAAAGATGGAAAGACAGAAGATTATTATCAGAGAGAGGAATTTCAGAGTCCAATGTTATGGAGATGGCATAGTCATGAGTGATGCCTAAATCTTAGGCATTCACGGAAGTGTCTAGGGTGGAATAGAAACATCTGTCATGAGATTTCAGGAGGTCAGTATACTGGGGGGCCAAGAAGTTTGAGGAGTTGTATTGAAGTACCTCTCAAATATTAGCAGCAAGGGTTGGGGTGGAGAGGAAGACTGAGCCAGGTATTGATTTTCTCTAGAAAGGAAGGACAAGGTGGTACAGTGGATAGAGCACAGGCCCTGGAGTCAGGGGACTCAGACACAGTAGCTGTGTGACCCTGGGCAAGTCACTTGACCCCATTTGTCTCCAAAAATAAAAATTTAAAAAAAAAAAAAAGAAGAAACAAAGGGCTACCTAGTTGGAGAGCCAGGAAGTGTCATTGGGCAGAATGTTTTGATGCTGGTGGCTACAGAGACACAATGAGGTCTCTGGACCATACTCCAGGTTATAGAGGACCAGGAAGGGGATTTTGTACTTGATTTGGCAGGCGCTAGGGAGCCATTGTGGGTTTTTGAGCAAAGAAATTGCGTAATTAAAAACAACATTAGGAAGATTAGTCTGGCAGTAAGATTAAGGCCATAGAAGAGAATAGAAAAGTGACATATCCCAGGAGGAAAAGGAGAAATGACATGTTTTATATGATATCAGTATTTCTTAAATATCAATAATAATATAGGCATTGTGTTATACATGCACATGAGCCAGTCAATACTTGCCTTCTGAGAGCTTATAACCTAAATCAACTAGATACAAAGATACCATACTGACACATTTTTGTGTATTCATTCAGCAATTATTGATTAGGGGCTCACTATGTACTAGAGCTGTGAGAATACAAAGACAGGTCCTGTACTCAAGTAGCTTGCAATCTGTTACAGGGACATAAAGGAAATAAATCATAGGATTTAGAACTGGAAGGGATGTTATCGACCGTTTAATCTAACCCTGTGCTTTACAGATGAAGAAACTGAGGCCCACAGATATTAAGTGACTTGTCCCAGGTTAGACAGGAAGTAGCAAAACTGAAACCAGAACCCAGACCTTCTAATTCCAGATGTAGTACTGTCTTTTATACCACGCTGCCTCTTGTCTATACGGCAGTAAGTGATGATATTGAGTGTCAGAGGAAGGAGACAGACTGTCCAAGGATCCTCCAGGTAAAGGAACAGACAGTCGAAGTGGCAAAGTGGCTAGAGTGCTGGACTTGGAACTGGGAAGACCTCTGAATCCTGCCTCAGACATCTCCTAGCTGTGTGACCCTGGACAAGTCACTTTCACTTTCTCACTCAGTTTCCTTTTTTGCAAAATAGAGATGCTAATAATCGCATCTACCTCAGAGTCGTTATGAGAATCAAATGAGATAATATATGTAAAGTGTCCTCTAAGTACTAGCTGTATTATGAAGGAAGTGCCCTTAGAGCTTTCCTAAATGTCAGTCACTTTGCAAGGTTCACTTTCAGTGGCGTTTTTTCTTTCTCTTTAGCTTTTTTTTCTAAGTTGGCTGCACCTCTTTAGCATAGTGCTTGGGTAGTGACAGGAAGTAAGTCAAAGGGGTCAGTGCTCTGGCTGTGTCTAATGGTGTGATGGAAGCCTTGGGGCCCAGAGGGAGAAGTAAGGAGGAGGGCATTGGCTAATATGTTGGGCCTGTGCTTTAGAAAGAGACAACAGGCAGAAAGGGAGGGCTGCAGTGACCTTTGGTTTGGGCCGTACTGACCTGTCCCCTGCTGGGGCTGGCCCAGACTCAGGCCAGCCAGGTCCCAGTCTCCTGGTTCCCCCTCTCCTCTTTTCTCACAAATGGTTAAGCATCTGTCTGGATTCCCAGGCAAGACCAAATAATTAAACAGCCCGAGAGTTCGGCAGATTGGTCTCCCCTTTGGGAAAATACAAGAAAATCAACAATTAACACTAATTAATCTCCTATTAACACCAGATAATTAGGAGACAAGCAATTCCCTGTAATCTGACAGAGGCTCTGACAGCTAATGATTCCCCTAGCTGAGAGGGTGGGGGGAATGGGCGGGCTCAGGCCAGCTGGGAAAAATTGACAGCAGATGAATTGGCAAAAGTACCACGCTGTCCCACCCCATCCAGCCTGGGAGTCAGCAATCTACCTCTGCTAGTCTCTGGACCAGGGGTGGGGAACCTTTGGCCTGGAGGCCACACATGGCCCTCTAGGTCCTCAAGTGCCACCCTTTGAATCAAATCAAATCAGTCAAAGGGCCGAACTTCAGTACCTAGAGGGGCCACAGGTTCCCCAACATTGCTCCAGACCTTGCTAGGGAAACTCTGATGCACAAGGTAGGTGTATTTAACCCTTTAGAAGAATAACCCATTTTTCCTAGCCATAACTAGTGCTGAGCCTCAAGTCCCAGGGGATCAAAAAGGAAGGAAGGAAGAGGTCTATTTCCCAAAATCTCCAAATACCTTCCACGGGCTTCACTGAAAGCCACACTTTACTGGAATTCAGATTGTATGCTATTCCTGGGCAACTAGGTGGCATAGAAGTTAGAGTGTTGAGCCTGGAGTGAGGAAGATTCATCTTCCTGAGTCCAAATCTGGCCTTATGTGACCCTGGGCAAGTCGCTTAACCCTATTTGCCTCAGTTTCCTCATCTGTAAAACGAGCTGGAGAAGGAAACGGCAAATCGCTGCAGTATCTTTGCCAGGAAAACCCCAAACAGGATCACAAAGAGTCAACTGAAATGATTAAACAACAACAAAAGCTATTCCTGGCCTTTCCACTAATGAGCTATGTGACCTTGGGATTCACTTCTCTGGGACCCAGTTTCCTTATCTGAAAAATGAAGGTCTTAAAACAGATAATGTATAAGGACTCCTTTCTCGAGATCTAGATCTGGAAAGGATCTCACATTCCTACTGACTGTGGGACTTGTCTTCTCTGAGCCTCAGTTTCCTCACCTGTAAGTTGAGGACAATAATAATTGCACTAGGTACCTCCCAGGGTGATTGTGAAGCCAGTGCTCTGTTGGCCTTAAAGAGATATTGACGTCAGAGTTATTACTATTATTCTGTCATCTAATCCAAAACCCCTATTTAACTAGAAGGAAACTGAAACTTGGGAAAAGGACTGCATTCTATGACTGTGTGTCGTCTTCTTGTTGGATGTTATCGATGGGACTTTTGTTCAGGCGTAGTTTGGATTAGAGCCTAGGTTAGGCATAAATATGCAGACACACAAGTAACTAGGTATGTGCCGCTCTGTGACAACATATGGGATCAGGGGCCAGATCTCCACTGCTCTCCTTCATTGCAGCAGGCTGGTCTCTTCATGGTCTTCTCAACCCCTTTTCGTCTTTGCTTTGGCAATGTGGTTTCCCATACCAGGAAGGTCCTCCTTGCTCGTTTGTGAATCTTGCCAGTCTTCAAAGCCTGCCTTCTCCATGATATCTACAGGGATCCTCTGAAAGCAATGCCTCCTCTCGAGGGTGTCTCTTACTGGGCTTATAGCAAATGCAACTTCCTATGATTATCTTTTTATGCACAAGCCCAGTTTCTCCCAAATCAGCAAATATTTATTAGTCACCTAATCTGTATAAAGCACTGCTTAGTCCCCTATGCAGGTTCTGGGATATAAGCACAAAAGGGACAGAGACCCTAATCTTAAAGATCTTACATTCTATCCTCCAGAAGGGAGAAGGTGGACAAGAACCTAACACGTACACAGATATGTGTCGTACAAGATAGGGAGAGATGAGGCCAAAGGAAAAATGCAGACTAAATGCTCTAGGAAATTTTGAGAAGAGAGATAATATTTCTAGTTAGGTTAATGGGGAGGAGGCTTCACTACAATACCTATAGGGCAGGTACCCTGACACAGACCTTGCATATAGTAGATGTAATATTTGTGGGTTAACAGCAGGAGGTACGTGACCCTGGTGAATACACACTGAGGTTTTTGCCTCTTTCTGTTTCTCTTCCCAGGTGTTGGAACGGTGGTGTGAATTTCCCCGGATAATTGAGGTTCTGATGAATACCTACAGTCTTGTGAAGCTGCCAGGGGATGCAGTGGACCTGATACCCCCAGATATCCTGCAGGTCAGTCAGACTCAGGGACTACCCAGGAGACTTCTTAATCCCTAGAACACAGAACTGCCCAGCCCAGCCTCAAGGAGAGGCTGTCATCTCTGTCATCCAGAGAACCTCCAACCTTCTAGAGCAGGGGTTCCTAACCCTTTTTTGGGGTCTTGGACCTCTCTGGAACTCTGGGTCTGTGGACCCAGAATTATATATACATATATATATATATATTTTTTTTTTTTTGCTTTTTCATGAGGCATCAGGGTTAAGTGACTTGCCCAGGGTCACACAGCTAATAAGTGTCATGTGTCTGAGGCTAGATTTGAACTCAGGTTCTCCTGACTCCAGGGCTGGTGTTCAATCCACTGCAATACCTAGCTGCCCCCCAGAATAATATTTTTAAATGCATGAAATAAAATACATAGGAATACAAAGGCAACCAGTTATATTGAAATGCAGTTCTCAAAATACATTAAAAAAGAAGTCAATGGGGCAGCTAGGTGTTGGAGGCAGAACACGAGCCCTGGAGTCAAGAGAATCTGAGCTCAAGTCTGGCCTCAGACACTTTTAGTTATGTGACCCTACCTAGGCAAGTCACTCAACCCTGATTGCCTCAAAAAACAAAAAACAAGTCAATTGACCTTAGGTTAAAATTGGGCACCATCTTTATAGAGGTTTTCCAAAGAGGTTGTTTATAGTCTAAAGACAGAGAACTTTTCAAATCTAGGAGAGATCTTCACATAGAGACTCCATGGAAATGATCTCAGTCTATAGAAACCCCTATGAATACTCCCTACCTGCAAAAGACTGTTTTTTTTTAATTCAATTTTATTTTAAATTCTTATCTCCCTCCCACTCTCCCCTCCTCCACTGATAAATCAAGAAAAACAAAACACATACAGTCAAGCAAAACAAATCCCTACATTGGCCACCTCTCAATCTGCTTCTGAGACCATCAGCTCTCCCTCTGGAGCTGGGTAGTGAACTTCATCATAAGGCCTCCAGAACACGGTTGGGCAGAGTTCCTATGTCTTTCAGAGCTGTTAGTCCTTTTTTTAAAAAATTTTTTTTCTTTTTAGGCAATGGGGTTAAGTGACTTGCCCAGGGTCACACAGGTAGTAAGCAGAGCTGTTAGGCTTTACCATATTACTGTTGTTGTGTACATCCTTCTCCTAGTTTTGCTCATTTCACTTTTTTTTTTTAAGTGAGGCAATTGGGGATAAGTGACTTGCCCAGAGTCACACAGCTAGAAAGTATTATGTGTCTGAGGCCGGGATTTGTACTCAGGTCCTCCTGACTCCAGGACCAGTGCTCCATCCACTGCGCCACCTAGCTGCCCCCATTTCACTTTTATGAAAGGTTCTGACAGACATTTCTACCAGCCCCCTGCATAGCATAATGAAATGAATTCAAGCCCGAGTTTGAATCCCCATCCCTTTACTATCTCCATGACCCTGGTGAACCCCTTCATCTTTGGCCCTGAATTTCCTCCTTTGTAGCTCGAAGTCTCATGTCCACGAACTCCTCCTCCCACCCCAGCTCGGTAATTTCATGTTTTCTTCTGAACCCAGAAGCATGGAGATTTCTACTCTTCGCTCTTCACCTTGGTGGGTCGGCCGAGATCCTTGAAGCACCTGAGTCGCCACGCCCTCCGATCACACCTGGCTGGTTGCTTGTCCCAGGCACTGCCCCAGTTACCCCTGCCTCCTTGCCTCCTTCGCTACCTACAGCTGGATTTTGAGGACGTTCTCTATTAGGTGAGTTCTGGGATCTGGGGCCAGTCAGAGGCTGGAAGGGAAGCCCAGGGATGGGATTGGATCTTGGGGAGGCTGGGAAGAGGCCTAGCCTAAGGAAGCAGGGGAGGAACGTATGGGGCAAAGGAGCCTGGTACTGTTAGAGATCAGCCAGCCTCCCTGCCTTTGTCTTTTCCCTCATCTCCCCTTTTCAGTATTCTCTCCACTATTACTAACCTATCAGAGATTCCTGCCAAGATTACTTGGGAAACAGCAATTCACCCATCCCGGCTTTCCAGAAGCTATCACCAGAGAAGTCGGACCTAGGCTTTGCTTCCTGGGTTCTGATATCCAGGGGTGTCCTTCCGTGATAGGCCAGAGGCCAAATGTCCCCCAAGTCCTTCATCTGCCTGCCCTTCTATCACTAGTCCCATGCCACCACCCACAAGGATTCTACCCCATTGGTACCCCTCTCCACAGGTCCTTTCTACCTCTCAGGCCTTGAGGGGAGGTAGTTTAGACTCTCTTGGGCCCCTTCCAACTCTTTTAGCCACAGGTGAAAGTATTCCTAGTTGGAGCTGCTCCTCCCAGGTTCTCAGCTAGATATAGAATGTCTGAATCAAAAGCCCAGAGAAACAGGGTGCCTGGCGCCAGCTCTGGCCCGGACTGGAACTGCCCAGATGGAGAAAGAGACTGGCACTGCGGATAACTGAAACCAGGAGGACTGGCACTGAAAAATGAAGAGAGGGGAAGAAAGTCTGTGCTAGAGCAATGATAAAGGAGAACAAAAGAAACAGAGTCTAGATGGGGTTTCTCTTAGGCACCTAGGTGAGCTTTCTTTGTATTCCACTTTCTTCGTTGCAGTGTTTCTTTGCACTTTCTCCTTTAAACTCAGACTCTGGACATGCATTAAAATGTATGGTGTTGTCTCTGTTGTCTACCTCTCTCTGTGCTGGCTCGCCTGACGAGGACGGCGTACACAAGTATGACATAAGAAATCGTGGGGGCAGTGCAAATGGGAGAAAGAGAAGATTTAGAATCAGAGATGGCGGTTATTGTTCAGTCGTTTCTGACTCTTTGTGAGCCCATTTTGAGCTTTTCTTGTCAACGACCTTCTCCAGCTCATTTCACAGATGAGGAAACCGAGGCAAATAGGACAAAGTGACTTACCCAGGGTCACACAGCTAGTAAGTGTCTGAAGCCAGATTTGAAATCAGGAAGATGAGTGTTCCTGACTCCAGGCTGGATACTCCATCCACTGTGCCACCTAGCTGCCCAGAATCAGAGGACCTGGATTCAAATCTTCTTAACCCCCCCAATGGTATTTTCCCCCCAATTACATGTGAAGATAGTTTTCAACATTCACTTTTATAAGATTTTGAGTTCCAAATTTTTTTTCTCCCTCCCTTTCCTCTCCCCTCCCCAAGATGGCAAACAATCTGATATAGGCTATACATGTAAAAACTATGAGAAAGGAGATAGAGAGAGAGAGAGAGAGAGAGAGAGAGAGAGAGAGAGAGAGAGAGAGAGAGAGAGAGAGAGAGAGAGAGAGAGAGAGAGAGAGAGAAAGAGAGAGAGAAGGAGAGAGAGAATAATACGCTTCAATTTGCATTCAGACTCCATAGTTCTTTCTCTGGATGTGGATAGCATTTTCCATCATGAGACTTTTGGAGATGTCTTAGATCCTTGCATTGGCTGAGAAGGGCTAAATCTACCAAAGTTAGTCATTGTACAATGTGGCTGTTACTGTGTACAATGTTCTCCTGGTTCTGCTCACTTCACTCAGCATCCCAGCTGCAGTTTCTTCATCTTTAAGATGGAGATAAGTATAGCATAGCACCTACCTTACATAAATGTGAATTAGTTATTATTATCATGGGTATCTCCCCAACTTACAGGGGTTCCTAACCTTTCTCAGAACAATGTTTTTAAATGTATGAAATAGAATACATAGAATGGCAAAGAAAACCAATTATGCTGAAATAGAGTTTTCAAATAGACATATATACACATATACATGCACATGTGTGTATGTGTATATACACATATATGTATGTATGTATGTAAATATTTATATATACACATGTGCATACGTGTGTGTGTGTGTGTGTGTGTGTGTACACATAAACATACACACTGCCCTGAATGACTACCCCTTTCTCACCTCCCATTAGTCTAGGTGCTGCAGTGCATACAGCGATGGACCTAGAGAATCCTGTCTGAATTCTACCTCAGATACTAATTGTGTGATCCAGGCAAGTCATTTAATTCAACCTCTGTCTGCCTCAGTTTCATCATCTGTAAAATGGAGGTAATAGCACCCACATGATAAGGTGGTTATGAGGATCAAATGAGTTAACATAAAAAGTCCTTTGCAAACTTTCAAGCACTATACAAATGCTAGCTATTATCATTATTGTTATTATTATTATTTTCCTCCTTTGGCTGCTAATAAAAGTTCATGTACTGAGGCCGAAATTTTGCAAAGTATTATTAGACCTATTTTACAAATGAGGAAACAAGCTTATTGATTTGTTCCTGATCACACAGTTCCATAGTTAAGTTCAGAGAAGGCACCCTACAGTCTTGTGTATGTAGGCAATCAGGGCTAAATGATTTGCCCAGGGTCACACAACTAGGAAGTATCTGAGGTCAGATGTGCCACTAGTTGCACCCCCAAGTTCTTTCTACCAGCTACATTGAACCTCAACAAGCATGTGAAGGCCAGAGAATGTGTTACTACTGCTGAGCCTTTAAAGTCCTGCCTGCCCTGTAACTAAGGCCTTAGGCCTCAATGAGGTGGGGCTCTGCTTTCTTCTCAGGTAGTCCAGAGACTGCAGGCTTCAAGGTTCTTCATTGGACCCTTTGTTTTATAGTTTTGCTGGGATCTTGACTCATAGGCCTGAGAGTTTTAATATTGAGAGGTTGTTGGTGCAAGCCTTTCTCTCAAGAAGCTTATATTTTGATGGCAGAAATAAAGGAGAGCTGGAGGGAAGAGGGGAAGTTTACTGAAGTAAACTTTTCGAAAAAGATGAGCTTCTTGTTCCCTCACCCTCAAAGTATTGTATGCCTTTCACCCTCTTTCCCCTGTCTCGACCTGATACAGGACCCCCTCTCCCATATACACCTTGAAGCTCCTTAACTTCCTGCCCTAATGCCCAGAGTCCCCTTAGCTTTGAACCAGGCACTACTGCTCCCAACTTTGGTCAGTTCAGGAGCCTGGGATGGCTCAGAGCTTCACTAGCCTATCTGGTCATCAGACCAGGCAGGATCCAGGGCTGCAAAGCCCACTCTGTCCTGTCTTCAGGAAATTTTCTGAGGGAAAGTGTTTAGGGTGTGTGTGTGTGTGTGTGTGTGTGTGTGTGTGTGTGTGTGTGTGTGTGTAGAGGTTTGATGAGGGAGGTTCTGGGAAGGTCCCGTGAAAATATTATCTCTAGAAGATCTCTTTGGAATCTGTAATGGGGATCCCTGTCACTCTAAAAAGGGGGCAGGAATCTTCAATTCGATCAAGTTTCAGAATGTAGGAACTAAAATGGGGATTCCTAACCTGAGAGGGACATCTCCTGTTCGAAGAATCCTGGTGGATGTCTTTCCCAAGAGTGGTAAAAGCCAGTGAAAGTTCACATCCTGCTTAGTCTTGATATGTAGGGGAGGCAGTTGTGGTCCATTTTGGGAGAGGTCCTTTCTGGTTGCATTGTGTGTCCCACAGATTTAGGGAGTTGGAAGGAAGGTGCTTTAACAGAAGACCCTGCCCTTAGGAGGTGGCTGGCTTAGGGAAGGTTCTTTCTGGGGTTAGACACCCTGAGACTCCTCGAAGCCCGGGAGCTTCCTCCCCGGCCTCTTCGCTGCTGGTCCCGCGGGCCCCAGAACCTCTCGCCGGTAATTGCTTTTAGTAATGTGTTTGCTCCAAACCAATTTCACGCCTCCGTGAGGACTCCGCCCTGCACTGGAGGCGCGGACCTCCCCACCATCACCACCATCTCCCGGCTTGTGCTCTCACACATAGGCACAGCCGTTCCACATTTCACAGTCAGACTAACCGAGCACAGCACGCATGGAAGCAACACGCTATCTATGCGCGTATGTGCTGTACAGCACACAAACTCACGGTGACCGCCGCCCCGTCTGCAAGTTCACAACGTGCGCAGACACACACACGCATGCACTCACACACTCCTGGTGCCTGCACTCCGCTCCCTCGTCGGTGTCGTGACTATTGAACCAACACCAGAGGGCGCTTGCAGCACTCCTCGCTGTCATCCTCCTGTCTGCAGTTCAGCGCGGCCGCCACCAGAGGAAGCTCGCGGCGGAGCCGGCCTGGTCGGCGAGGACCCCGGGACTCACTCTGGCTAGTTGTCCCTGGCGTGGAACTGTTAGCTTCAGTTCAGGGAGGTCTTTCGTTCTTTCTCTGCGTCCCAAAATTTTGCCTCTTGGATATGGAGCGGTCTCTGCAATTCAGGTGGTCACAGGAGCACAGATTTAGAACTGAAAGGGACTCCAGAAGCCATCTAGTCCAACCCCATTATTATTCGGTTGAGTAAACTGAGGCAGAGGTTAAAGTGGCTTGACCAAGGTGACACATATTCCTGAACTCCTTCCAGAAAGACAGCAGCCTCTCAGAGAATTCCCCTTTCAGGGGTAACGGTGAGAACCAGGACAACGTCTGTCTAAATAGGCAACTGGAGGCAAAGAGGCAAGAACCGTTAGAAGTTCCGTCGTATACTTTGAGACGTGGTTCTTGCCGGAGACAGAGATACAGGAGAAGGAACAGAGGGAACTCAGGGTATTGTGGGAAAATCCCTGAACTTTTTAGAGTTAGAAGACCCATAATCATGTTCCTCCTGGCTCTTGCCATGTACCAACCTTGGGAGAATCATCTCTTTGAGCCTCAGTTTCCTCATCTGTAAAATGGAAGGGATTACTAAATGTTTTCTAAGGGCTCTTCCTACTTTCACATTTTGTGAAAAGAAACTGATTCACATTCGCACTTTAACAGCGGGTTGGCTGATACAGCCTCTGTCCCTGGCCTTGGTACTGATGTTAGAGCAACCGCAGGGGCGGCAGGGTTGCGAGTTCTTGGAGATGTACATTAGATTCATGTCCAAAAACATTTATCTAACGCTTACTATGTGCAAGGTACTGTGCTAAGCGCTGGAGATACAGACAAAAACGTGAAATAGTCGTCGTTCTCAGGGCGTTTGCATTTTATTGGGAGTTTACAGCCTGCTTTCTCCTTTTCTGGAGTTTAAGGCAAGGTAGCCAAGAAGAAGCCTCAGAATACGAGAGAGAAGGGAGAGAGGGGTCGTTCTAATGCAATACTTTGGATTCCTTACTATTTTAGCAAACTATAGCTGCTCAATTGCGTTCAGTACTGCAAGGGATCCAACCCAATGCCCTGGGGGGTGGGGTGGGTAAGAAGGGCACATGTTGAGGGGACATATTAATGACAGTATATAAAAGACAGTGCCTGACAAACAGGCCATATACTATATCAGCACAATGTCACTGAGGTCTGCAATCTGCCTAGGTTTGTAGTCAGGGGTGATATGGATTCTGAGCAATCTGATAGGTTATTTCGGAACCAGGTTCTGAGTCTGATCTGTGTGCCAGCTTGAGCAGATTACCACCTTGCAAGCTACCATTGTAAGTGATCAGTTCTTGGCTCATGGCTGACATAACTACATCTTCAAGGTCAGGCAGGTCCCTCACCATGAGCCCTTGTATACCCTCTGTCTCACTAAGGAATGAACACTCATTTAACAAAGTGGTCCTCCATGCCTAGTTTGGTTGCTGCTGGAGCTGCACTCTCAGCTGTAGCTTCAGATACTTTGGCCAATGTCCCCTTGCCACTCCATCAATTTAAACCAATAACTATTAATAAGGGCATAGTATTCAGAATGAGGGAGCCAATAGTTCCCCGGGCTATCAT